CGATGCCCACATCCCATATCATAGTGCCTGGGTTCAAGTCTTAGCTTTGCTTCTGGTTCCAGCTTTCTGCTAATGTACACGCTGAGAGGCAGCAGGTGATAGCTCAAGTGGTTGAATGTTAGCCTCGCCCAGCCCTGTCATTGCAGGCATTTTGGGGAGTGAACCAGAAGATGAGAGAGCTTTCTCTCTCTCTCTCTCTCTCTCTCTCTCTCTCTCTCTCTCTGACTCTCAAGTAAATAAATAAGCAAATAAAAAGAAAACAAAAACTTCTTAAAAAATAAAATAAGCTGTAGGACAGTGGTCACCCCCCCTTCCATCGGGTAGCATTATTTTCATCATTTATCTTTCTCCAGTATCCAGACCTTAGAGGGTAGGTGTTCCCTGGCTGTTTGTTTTGGATACATAATCTTTACAGAGAGAACTTCATTAGCAAATATTAACTTTGGATATGTAGCTTTTATTTGACCACCTTTAAAGCTGTTCTCAGTAAGCAAACACACGTACTATACTTGGAGACCACAAGTTATTTTTAAACTGCAATCACTGTGTGAGGTCGATGATATGACTTATCCTCTGGCTACGGAATGCAATAAAACACATTAAAGAGGAATACTGTCAGTATACAATAAATTTTATGTCATGCATTAAATGTTGCCTTTGATGGCAAATAGGAAGTGTTCTGAGAACAAAGCCTTGCCATGAGTTCACTGCTACGGAGGTTCCTGATAGATTAGAACATCACAGTGAAGTGACCTGGCAGGGTGAAAGAGTCATTGGCCTGTGTAGAGATTCTTTAATTTAGACTTTGCTTTTATATTTGCATATTAATAAAATAATCTTGGAATCTTAGCCACTTGTTGAATATTTTCTTTCAAATAATCTTATATCTGAAAGGGTGTTTGAAAGTATGTAAAGTCTATCCTCACTTCTTTTTCAATTTTCTTTCATCAACAGGTAGCAATACATCCCCTTGCCCAGGACGGTTCCAGGCAGGGATACACATTCATTTAATTGCTTTCTTAGAATATTGTAGAAATTCTATTTAGAACAAAAGCAATACAGGTTCATTATTCAGAAAAAATTTTAAATATATGTAAGTTATAAAAAAGGAAATAAACATAAAAATATTTTTTCTCCATCCCGTCTATCCACTTTTGAATATCCTGTTACAGCTTTCCACTTTGATACACAGACCCATGCACACACACACACACACACATAGGCATTCACATAGACTTTCATGTTCAACATATATTTCAGTTTCACAATTTTAGTAGCAGATTTATTTGTATATATTTATATGCCTCAAGTTCATAAGTACATATATTAGTGGTTTTTAGTACAGCCACAGAATTGTACAAATATCACCACTATTTAATCCTAGAACATTTCTATTATTCCAAAATGAAACCCCGCATCCATGTGGCCTTTTCTGTGTTGGTTATTTAATTTGGTGTACTGTTTTCAAGGTTCACCCATGTTGTAAGCATGTATCAGAACTTCATTCCTTTTTATGGGTGGCTACTAGTCCATTGTATGGACACATCACATTTTATTTATCCATTCTTCAGTTGGCAAACACTGGCTTATTTTCATTTTGGCTAATATAAATAATGCTGCTCTGAACATTCACGCACGAGTTTTCATGTAGCTATGAAGGGCCTCAAAAATTCATGGACAATGCTCATCTTTGAATTCATTAACTTTTTGAAGCCTACTTGTATGCTTTCTGTTCTCTCAGGTATATTGCGTTAGGATTGGAATTGCTCAGTCATATGGGAACATTATGTTTCGCTTTTCGAGGAGCTGCCAAAGCATTTTTCAGGGTATCTGAACCATTTTGCATTCCCACTAGTCATGTATGAGAGCTTCAGTTTCTCCCCATCCTCACCAATACTTGTTTATTACTTGTATTTTTTATTTTGACTGTCCTAGTGGGTAGAAATAGCATCTCATTGTGGTTTTGATTTGCATTTCCTTGACGACAAATGCTAAACATCTTTTCATATGCTTATTGACCATTTTTACATCTTCTTTGAAGATAAATGTCTATTCAAGTCCTTTGCATGTCATCTAATTGTTTTTTTAATGGTTGAGTTGAAAGTTATTCTGGATATGAATCTCATCAGATATATTATTTGCAAATATTTTTTCCTGTTCTTTGGGCTCTCTTTTACTTTATTGAGGGTGTCTTGAAACACAGGTCTTTACATTTGTTTTGTTGTTGTTGCTTGTGTTATCAACGTCATACTAAGAAACTATTGTCAATGCAAAGTCAAGAAGACTTACTCCTATGTTTTTGTCTAAGAGTTTTATAGTTTCTGCTCTTAACTTTAGATCACTGATCATCTTGCTTGAGTTAAATTTGTAGATGGTGTGAGGTTGGGTTAGAAGTCAATTCTTTTGCTTGTGGATATCCAGTTGTGCCAGCAGTATATTGAAATGATTATGTACCCAAAGAATAGTCTTTTAGCATCCTGTTAGAAATCAACTGGCCCTGGCTGGCGCCGCAGTTCACTAGGCTAATCCTCCGCCTGCTGCGTTGGCATGGCACCCCGGGTTCTAGTCCGGGGTGCCGGATTCTGTCCCGGTTGCCCCTCTTCCAGGCCAGCTCTCTGCTGTGGCCTGGGAGGGCAGTGGAGGATGGCCCAGGTGCCTGGGCCCTACACCCCATGGGAGACCAGGAGGAAGTACCTGGCTTCAGATCAGCGCGGTGAGCTGGCCGCAGCGCGCCAGCCGTGGCGGCCATTGGAGGGTGAACCAACAGTAAAGGAAGACCTTCCTCTCTGTCTATCTCTCTCACTGTCCACTCTGCCTGTCAAAAAAAAAAAAAAAAAATCAATTGACCCTAACAAAAGGGTTTATTTCTGCACTCTCATTTCTATTCCATGGATCTATATGTTTACCCTTAAGCCAGTTCCACTCTTTCTTAATTACTGTATCATTATATTAAGCTTTGATAGCAAGAAGTATGACTTCATTAAGTTTGTTCTTATAATTCTTATTTGACTATTCTGAGTCCCTTGCATTTCCACAGGAATTTTAGGATCACATCATAGATTCCTGAAAAAAAAATAAGCTGAGATTTTGATAGGGATTCTGATGAATCTGTAGGTTGCTTGGAGAGCATCACTTTTATTTTTTAACAATATTGTCTGCAATACATGAACATGTCTTTCCATTTATTTAGGTCTTCTAAAACTTCTTTCAAAGATGCTTCGTAGTTTTTATTTTACACATACTATACTTTTTTGTTAAATTTGTTCCTAAGAATTTGGTCTTTCTGATTCTTTTGTAAATGGAATTATTTTATTCATTTTGATTACTTATTGCTAGTATTTAAAAATATGACTGCTTTTTGTTGATGTACATACTTTATTGTATACCTTCTCTCTGTTAACTATTACAAACATCTTTCTCTGTCAACAAATACACTTCTCTAAGAACATTTTAGTGGACATAATATTTAATTATGTTGTTATGCCATAATTTACTCAGGCAGGTCCTCGTTATTGGACATTTAGATTCTTAAACTTAAAAAAATATTATAAATAGCTCTAATAAGTCTTTGCCATGAAATCTTTCCAAAACTCCCAAATTATTTCTTGAGAACTTTCTGTAAGTGGAATTGTTAGGGCAAAATACATGCACATAGGAGTCATTTGCTAAGCAGTGAATATACTGCCTTCCTGAAAGCTTACAAGGTTTTCATTTCCACCAAGGTTGTGATACTTGTTTGCCTGAATTCTCTTCAACTTTCAGCTTTGGCACTAAATCGGTACCGGGTGGATAGGTGAAAGATGAGCCTCACTGCTTTGCTTGCGTTTCAACTCCCAGGAAGGTCAAACAAACCATCAAAAAAGTAAATTATATTTTAAACTAATTTTTCTGTGAATTGCTTCTTAGGTCTCTTAACCCCATTCAGCTTTTTTCCACTTCCCTTGCAAAAACTTCATCTAGGAAAGCCATTTGTGGAATGAAGCTTCTTCCACTCATTTGTTTTCCATTTCTGTTTAGTTACGATGTTTTTGAATCTAAAAACTTTCAGTTTTTATGTAGCCAATTTATAGGTCTTGCCCACACATTTATTTCCCTTCTTTTTATTTTGGAAGGACAAATACATAGTTCCTTCCTCCTATAATATATCCCAGCATTTAATAAATACACTGATCAGTTCTCTCGATCTTGCTCCCTTTGGGCTGCTAAGATAAATTGTCCAGCGTTGAGCGGCCCACAAACAGTGGGAATTTATTTCCCATAGTTCTGGGATGCTGGGATGTCCAAGATCAAGAATGCAGCTGGTTCCCTGTGTGGGGAGGACCGGACTACCGGTTCGCAGACAGCTTCCTTCTGGCTCCCAGGGTGGAAGGCGCCAGGCGGCCCCTTGGGGCTCATCTGTAAGGGCACTGGTCCACAGAACTCCGCTCTCATGGCTTTGTCGCCTCCCAGAGGCCCACCTCCCAAAACCGTCACCGTGGGATTAGGATGCCAACATTCGCATTCTTTCCACTGTACCTTTTCAGTCCTGCTTTGGGACCTTGCTAAGCCCTGCCCTCACGTCTCGCTCCCTTTCGCCTCTTCATCCCACAGATCTCCAGTCCCCTCCTTCCTCTGGGCCGTTCCTGATGGCCCAGGCCCGCAGCAAAGTCACCCTCCCTGATGGCTTAGAGGGCCTGCGTGGGGTCCGTTTTGGCGAGGTGGCTGGCTCATGGAAATGCAGCAGGCTGGGCGTGTGAAGGCTTTCCTGCAGCGCAATCCACGCCTTGCACTGTGCGCTGTGGACTTCATGTGTGCGCCCCGCCACGCCCTCGGGGAGCTCCTTCCGTCCGTGGCGGCTCGGCGTTGGCTCCAGTCCCGAAGGTGTAGGCGCACAGGTTTGCAAAAAAGACGGATCAATACTTGTCCGGAAAACCACAGAAAGTTCTGAGGGAAGTGGCAGTTTCCTATGCTAATCTCACTCAAAGTTACCGCAAGTCTCTCCGTAAGGAGCTGTATGTGTGTGGGGTTTTTTTTTGTTTTGGTTTGGTTTTTGGTTTTTGTTGTTGTTTTTCTGGCTCCGGTCTGAGCTCGTGGTTCTCCGGAGAGGAGGACAGTGTGATTTCCGCCCTTGGCCCTGGGAAGGCCGGTTGGTCCTGACTCCGCTGCAGCCGCGCCGCTGGGTGGGAGCCCGGGAACGCCTCTCGCGGTACCCGCGCGCCCGCAGAGACCGCGCTGGCTGGCCCGAGGCCGGGCGCTGTCAGTTCCTGATCCGCCCGGTGGCGCGGCCCCGGCCGCTGCAGGCTCCAGAGCCAGAGAAGCCGCCCCCACGTGGCGGGCTTCACGCGGGGTGCGGCTCCGGCACCGCCCACACCGGAGGCTGCGCTTGCCCCTGGCGCTGCAGGCTCGGCGAGACGCGGGCGGTGAGCGGCGCCCGCTGGAACCGCAGTGTCTGGGAGCCCCTCTGCGGGCTGCTCGGCGGCGGGATCCTGCGCTGCGGGATGGCAGCGGGCGCGCGCGCGTGGGGCTGGGCACTGCCGCGCGTTCAGCTGCTGCTTCTACTGCTGCTGCTGAGGGTGCTGCCCGCCTGGAGTGCTGCCGCTTGGGACCCCCGGGCCGGAGCTCGGCTCAGCCTGGATCCGCCCTACTTCAACCTGGCGGAGGCGGCGAGGATTTGGGCCACGGCCACCTGCGGGGAGCGCGGGCCCGGGGACAGCGGGCGGCCCCAACCCGAGCTCTACTGCAAGTTGGTGGGGGGCCCTCCCGCCTCAGGCAGCGGCCACACCATCCAGGTAAGGTCTCCAGAGAGAGAGAGAGAGAGAGAGAGAGAAGGGCTGGGGTAGGGGTGCGGGGAACGGTTCCTGCCCACAGGCCAGTCCATCGGGGTCTGGGGACTGGACCCTTTCCACCACGCGTGCTGGTGACTCCGGGCCGCCGGGAAGGGCTGTCCTCCGACCTGCGCACTGCCGGAGGACCCCGGGAGCGACCCTGTGCGAGCAGTGCCCGGGAACAGCCGCCCGAGGCGTGCGGGCGGCGCGCTCCGGGTGAGCGAAGGTTGCTGCGGTCGGGTTCTGGCACGCAGAGCAGAAAGTCCGCAGCCGCGCGCTCGGGATGCCGGCCGCTGTGGGCGCGTCCCGCCAGCTCACCTGGGCCGCGCCGGCCGCGCCTCGAGGCCGCTCCTGGGCTTCACCTGTGCGCCTCGGGCCAGGCTCTTCAGCTTCCCACTTTACTCGGAAAAGTTGGCGGCGGGTGTCGCCCGAGGTGTATTTCACGAGACAACTTTGGGGTTCCATCAGCGGCATCACTCTGATGTCACGGGAAGACTCATTTCGCCCCTGCTGCCTGAAGTGTCACGGCCAGCCGCCGTGGGCAGAGGGAGAAATGGCAGTGCGCGCCGCGCGCGCCTGGTAGGCACGGTGGCGCTTTGCCCTCAGCCGATACGCGCCGGGCTGTGCGCTGGGACGAAGTTCAGGGAGGCGGCCTAGAGTCGGACCTGTACCATCAGGTCGGGTGGCGGCTTCTGAACCCAGGCCTGACCCCAAGTCCGCTAACCCAACCCTTCCCCTCGCGCTCCCGGGGAGCTTTGCGGATGACTGGACCTGTTCCAAAAAGAGGGAGTCGTTTGGAGCCTGGGTGTTTCAGAGCCTGCTTCCACCGCGCGCTTCCGTGCATGACCAGCTGGGCGTGTATTCGCATTCTTATGTCTTCATCAGCTATTTGCATGTCTTACCGTGTTAAATATATCGTGTAGATTATAAAACGTTCAAGGAGAAATGAAAAAGAAAATGACGATGAGGAAAATACGTTTACCTTTCTTAAGCGGTCCCCAAATAATTTTTGCTTTCTCTGGCTTTTCTTGCGATTGTGTGTAACTATTTTAAATATAAAAATGTAATCATGAATATCATTATTTTTAACAAATTTACATTAGCACGTATGATTAAGAACATCTTTTAAAATTTGACAAGGAGAGGGAGGGAGGGAGGGGGAGAGAGAGAGAGAGAGAGATTGAGAGAGAGATGTCCTATCCACTTCAGTCTTTTGGAACAACTGGGGCTGTGCAGGCCAGACCGAGGAGTAGGAACTCAGTCTGGGTTTCCCACGTGAGTGGCAGGAGCCGCAGTACTTGAATGTGAACTGCTGCCTGTCGGGGTGTGCATTAGCAGGGAGCAGAACCAGATAGAGAACTCAGGTATTCCAATGATGGATGCAGGCTTTGTAGTGGCCACCTTCACTGCTCGCTAAATGCCCACCCCTTATATAACCATCAAAGTTCATTTTATAGTAATCCTTGATTTTAGTGGCTGTCATAACAGAAAATACCTATATACCTAAAAAATTGTAGATTCAGATGTATGAACTGTATTGTCTGCTGAATGGCAGAACCAGCTACATAATTTTATGGAGTTGTGTGCAAAAAACAAAATGCGGAGCCCTTGTTAAAAAAAAAAATAAATGTTTCCAGATGGTGACAGTAGAGTATTAAACTAAGTGACAGATGCTGTGACCACACAGGCTTCGTCCCATCACCGAATCACGGCGCTCAGAGTTCGGCCCCCTCCTTCGGTTACTCTGAAAACTTTGTTAAGTAGAAACCTGCCTGGTAGTTGTTCCCTTTGCAAGTGGTATTCAGTCTTTTCTACAAGGAAGGTGTTGTGTGTTAAAGTTTTGAATAACATATTCAAAAGTCACTGCAAGTTTCCTATTGGGAAATATTAGAATACATTAGAAAATTATTCCATGGTTTTGGAGAATGCAACTGTGAATGGTTTTGGAGTTACACATTTCCATGTTTTGTTGCTGAAAACATGGCAATAGTTCCAAACATCTATTTTCCAAAAATCTCTTTCCAAAGCATGCATTTCCTTAGAACAGCATTGACTTTTTCACACATTGGTAAAACAATCCCTGCATTTTTATGGCGCAGAGTAAGTGCTGTATTGTTCTGCAAATATCTATCAGGAAGTGTATTACTGGCAGCCACTTTTCATCCCAACCAAAGTCAGCAAATTTGGAATTTTTGTGAAAAAAAATAGCCACCATGAAGCACATCTTTAAGTTTAAAAAGCCTTTTAAGTATTTTACTATGATGTAACCAGTGAGCCCTGGGTAATCAAAAGGATTTCTTGGTCACTCCCTATTTCAGTGCAGGCTCTGTAACTCTCCTGCTATTTAGAGCAAAATCCATATGTCCCCTTAACCAGACACATGTAAGCTGTGATGTGTCATGGCCAGATGAGAGCCCAGTGGCATCCCTCATTCTCCCTTGGACAGGAGTTCAGGACCACGGGTGACTTGGGGACTAGGTGAAGGCCCTATGTCACTCTGTATGTTAAATACAGTCACGTGTAGCATGATGGGTCTGTCAGCAGCAGGCCTCACGTACGTTGGAGGTCCCATTAGCGGTCACCCAGTGATGCTGTGGCTTTATGAATTTGCTCAAGAACACTCTGATTTCTCTGATTTTGCACAGTGTATGCATTTCTCAGACTGTATTCTCATCATTAAGTGATATATGATTGGGCTTGTTCATTTTTTTAAAGATTTATTTTTTATTTGAAAGGCAGGGTTACAGAAAGGGGAGGGGGAGGAGGAAGAGGAAAGATCTGCTGGGTCACTCCCCAGATGGCTGCAATGGCTGGGGCTGGGCTAAGTGGGAGCCAGGAGCTTCTTCTCGGTCTCCCACATGGGTACAGGGACCCAAGCATGTGGGTCATCTGCTGCTGCTTTCCCAGGCGCATTAGCAGGGAGCTGGATTGGAAGAGGAGCAGCAGGGTCTTGAACTGGTGCCCATAAAGGATGCCCCTGTTGCAGACAGAGGCTTAACCTGCTATACCATGGTGTCCGCCCCTGGACTTACTCATTTTTAAGTAAAATAAGGGTAAACAGAACACATAGTATTTGCTTTTGTGTCTCTCTGGGTGGCTGTCACACCCGGCTTTGGAGAGAACTGTCCTAATAGTGGGTAGAGTGGATGCCAGGAAGGGTCTGAGAGTCGCAGCCATGTCTTCTGCCCCGGATTTTCCCGGGGGCTGACACCTTTCTCCCTGGCTGGTGTTCTTACTTATTGCTCATAGGTTGACAAGCTGTTTTGGGGACCCACAAAAGTCCTTATTTCCTGTTCAGATTGGGTTTCTAGTTAAGGGCATTCAACAGAGGCTCACAGACCCAGGGGCTCACAGACCTAGACGGAGTAGGAAGTGGCTTTCTGAGGTCACCCAGCCAACTGTGTCTGCAGGCCAGAGTGTAGCCTGCAGAGGGAGAACGCTGGCTGGTGTTACACCTGAAAGTAAAACCCTGCTGACGCATGGTATCTGCTTCTGCAACGGAGGGCTTGGAAGGCACACCAGTTGCTGACTCCAGAGCAGCATGCCGGGGCAGGAAGGACACGCTGAGTCCCAGAGGTCAGGGCTCTGCCCGCTGCCTTTCAGAAGACAAAGTGGTGGTGGGAGACAGGTGCGAGAAGGGAAGGGTGATCCTGAGTAACCTGGCAGCTGCATCTGGGTGATGCCAGTCTTGAATCTGCTCATGTACAGCTCGAGATGGAAACTGGAGAAGAGTTAGAAAAATTGTTCCATCTCTCTGAACTTTCTAAAAACAAACTCTGGCAAACAGCCAGGATTTAGAGAAGGGGAGGAAGGGAGAGAAATATGATTATCTTCTTAGAGCTGTTCTTATGAAATACACGAAATCTGTTCTCCCTATATTAATAAAAATAAACAAAAGAATTTCAGATCAAAAGGATTTTGGAAAAAAATAAAAGAAAAAAGAATAAAGATCATAGAATAAAACCTGTTTTTTTTTTTTTTTTTTTTTTTTTTTTTTTTAGCTAGAAAATCTCTAAGAACAATGCTGCTCCTTGAATGGTAACTTGGGTCAAAAGGCAGGATATTTTAAAAGTCTGAACTTGGTTGTGTGGAAAACTTCACCATAGTTTCTCTGGCCTTAAAATTCGTTTGGAAAGATGTTGCGCACTGAATGGTAATCAGATGCTGCATTTTTGGTGTTTAAGGGTTCTGTGACTCAGGGATCCTAAGTGGTCACTGTGCTGTCCCCGCTGACTTAGCACAGAGCCTCAAACGCGGGGGGGATGTGCTCAGAAAATGTGAATGGAGGGGCAGTGGAGTGAAGATACAGTTAGGCTGTAAGAAGTGACTACAAAGGAGAATGTGCAAAATACACCGATTCATTGTGTTGAAAAGTAATAACAACTGAAATATGTCACACTTTGTGCCTTAATTTTAAGTGTTTATTTGCCTATGGAATCTAAGGATATTACTATGCATTCAGACTCCAGAGGTGATGATAGAAGGGAAATGCAAGGTCATCTTGGTTTAGCTTTAGCTATAGTACTGTAAGCGTATACTCATATGGGATGGAATGTACACACTTGCCAAACCTGTAATCTTGTAAATTTTGTACAGTTACAGTTCAACATATTTTGTAGACATTCATTCATTACACTTGCATTTCTGTATGGTGCTGTGTAGTTGATCTGAATACGTCTATAGAGAAATGCACACACACACACACAAGCTATGGCTAAGAGTGAGAGTGGTCTAAGCCATAAAAGAGTCTTAGCCTTGTGTTTGTGTAACTTGGACTCATGGCCGTAAACAGGAAATGCAACTGTATTTAAGGCAGTTACAGAACTGTTGTGAAAGAAAATCCTCTGTTAACATCCGAGAGCCTTTTTCTTTTTGAAACTGGTGTGGAAATCTTGAGTGGGAAATCTAAAACATTTATTATATCCATGGACATATTTGTAACAATTAATAATGATAAAATTATT